AAAGATGGCATGAGACGTATATTTGGTACTTAATAAAGTGTTAATTATTAAATTTACTTAATACATTCAGTATCAACCTTTATTATTTAGGTACCAACGATACGTATGCGACTAAATTAGAACGGTTTAATCCACACTTATAAATTCATTAATTAGAGGCTAAAAAGATAGCTGTTATTTTTGGAAGCTATTAACAAAATAGAAATTCAAGAAAAATACAAAGAAAAAAGATTAAAGTCTGTGACTATTGCCTACTGGTACTTTTGTTATGGTTTTTTTGTTTATTTTAAAATAAATATTTAAAAAAAAAGCAATTTTATTACTAATTCGTCGTTTAATATATAATATATTAGAGTGACAAAAAATAGTACAATATAATTATAGAAATATTCACTAAAATCAGAAACTTACAAGGTATAATTATTAAACTTATTAACTAAGTTTACGACATTAAGAAGTAGGTACTTACTACTATTCAAACTATAAATAATTATACCTACTATAAATGCAACTATATATAATTAAACTATAAATAGTTTAATAATCTAAATAAACACCGTTTCTGGCAATGAAGTTTCTGGTAGGTAATGCTTCTTCCGTATTAAAATATTTTTAGATTCTTTTTCCAATTTCATGTTTTTTTTTACACGCGATGCGATACAGGAAGTACTTTTTTGTCTTCTAGTCTTTTTCGGTTACATTTTAACTTGTACGTACTCGTAATATGTATTGCTTTCACCGCCATAGTTACTTTTCAATGTCTTTCGTTTATATGTATATTTAAAACGAATATTAATAGCAACGTGATATAAAAAAACTTAAAGCAACATCATTATTAAGCCGTAAAAAAAACAACTAATGCGTAATTTAAAGTCAGACGCTGCACATTCTTTAAATTTGTAATCATAAAAACATTCTACTGATAAATATTTATTCTCGGCATCAAATATTTACATATAAATACCTACTATGTGAATGATTTGATTATATTTCTGCATGTTTAGGTGGCTTGTTAAAGTATACTTCGAGAACCCTGACCATGGCTAATTCAGTGTCTACAACGTCCGGGTTCATGGTACTTTCTCTTTTATAAGCCGTTAGCGTATTTTCTTGTGTAGTCTAGAGAGGAAACTACACAGTTTTAGACTAGTTTAACTATTCTCAACTCACTAATTAGGCACATTCATCCGGGTTCTAAGACAGTTTACTCTTTCTTGACGTATGTTTACGGTAGGTAGTAAATCCTGACGTCTCCAAGTACAACTCCATTAAGGTCTTATTTATATCAAAATAGTTTTTGTTTTTAATGTCTCAAAGGGTTGTTAAAGTGCTGTTAAAGTGGAGTCATCGAGTTAAATGGGTAATGTTATTTTCAATAATATGCTTATGTATGATTTCATACTTTAATTAAATATAACAAACATATTGTTTGCAGGATTGTCATTATTAATGTAACCGCAAGCGCAAAAAGGGGTTAAACAATCTGAATGATAAAGTATATGGACATAGTTGATGAAATACGTTGTTCTTACTTATGTCAATTTATTAAAATTCATATCACCATCTATAATATATTCTTGAGTATTATAGATTGACATCAACACAAATCTAGATGCATCTTAACTCGATAATCCAGTCAATTACAATTGACAACATAACAATAAATATTATGTATGACATAAACATATTTTTATGAATGTACACATCAAAAAAGTCTAAGCAACTAAATTCTTAATTCAATTGTTTATTTAATCACAATAATTAACAATATACCGTAACGTACGTAGTATAAAATTAAATGAAAATTACTTAAATTAAACTTTTGAACGTTTTCAACTTTTTAACCTTTAAATAACGTCATTTATTACATAATTCTATACAAATTGTGACGTCCTCTGTTATTTAAAAGTTGTCGGCAACGATTCTTTATTGAATTTATAAGATTGTTTATCTGATCCTGGGACAATCGCTTCTAATGGAATCTTAACTGGTCTTTCAGTTATTGAGTTGCCGACAATCCGTCCAGGTTCTCTAGAACACGTCTCGTCCCATGCGTACTCGATGGGATTGTGGTTGGGAGATTGGGCAGGCAACGGCAATATGCGGATGTTTTCCATTGCCAAGAGCTCCCGCGACCTCCGAGCTGTGTGCGAACGCGCATTGTCATGTATCAGCCTGAGATCTGATCCAAGACTTAATGTAAATGGGTGGTGGATAACAACAATACCACTTGAGAATTGTAGCTTGAAACCTATCTCCCGGCGGTTAACATAGGCTGACGTCTTGCAGTCAGTTGTATGTATCAGTTCTGTCGAGCAGTTGTGCTCTTTCCACGTTCTGGGTGCTGCTTAGCAGGGTCCCCTGTATTAACATATTGCTGCCAAATACGACAAATCATGCTCCTATTGACACCAAAATGCCGAATGAATGGGACTGATTTCTTCCGGCTTGTAGCATTCCTACAGCTCTCTGTATTTCATCAACAGTCAAATGGCGTCGCTCCATAACATAAAATGGTCGCTCACAGAATGATAAAAGTGAGATAAATAGCAAATTTATCAGGCTGCGAAAACAAAAAAAAAAAAAAAAGGCTGCGAAAACACATGAAATCGGGCAAAAATAATACTACGTATGTTACGACATACATATTGTTAATTATTGTGATTAACTGAACAATTGAATGAAGAATTTTGTAGCTCTAGTTACTGATGCATCAAAGAATTAGTTATTATTTATAAAATAAATATAAATATATTACAATAGTAAATGGTCCAAAAATTCAAAACCGTACATGTTACTTAGACTTTCTTTGATGTGTGTATAATTATGGAACTTAAATATACATTTTTTGATAGAAAGGCACAAACAAGTAACGGATTCCAATTAAAATATCATCTGTGAAAGTGTGGTTTGGAAGTTTTATAAAAGTAGTTTAAAAACCAGTTTACAAAGATATCAACACTGGGATTGCGTATGAGGAAAAATGTTTTAGAAATCTTATCGCTATCTTTTTTAATAAATATTGATGGGGGTGGGGTAAAGCAGAAAGTTGAATATTTACAAAATCGAGTAACAAAAAAGTCCTATTGAGACCTGAGACCTAAAATCTAAGAAGTCGATATTCCGGACTTTTGATTATTACATTTACTAATTACCTACGCAGTTATTTAACTTAGCTGCAACTGAATTACCCCACTTAATCTTTAACACCTATACATATTACATCAGTTAAGTAATAAGAGTAACTTATTAAGCCCTCATATTTGTTAAGTAATATTCTGTGAAAAATGCAAAAAATGTTCCTACGTAGTCTTGATACCAACTTGTGATGTGTGCAATTCTTTATCTATTGAAAAACATACTAATATATAATATTATAAAAGTTGTTAATCTTTGTTTTCAACTTTATCTAACTTATCTAACACACGTACCAACTAGGGCGCCCAGAGAGTATGTAAAGAGGCCCCAATGGGGTAACAATGTTGGCGATATAGTTATACTATTATATATCGATTATACCGTCGTCGTCGACCTTGTCGCTTCGCTTACGTGGTTTTTTGTTGCCCTATAATAACGTTTTAACTGAAGTCTGGCATTTTTACCAAATTTTGATACAAACATAAAATACATGGGTTTGTAAAAGAAAACAAGGATTGCGTTTACCTTTTTAAAGAAGGGTGTGTAGATATATTACTAAATGCTGGGATAGGGATGAAGCAATAAATGACTATCATTACACTAGTCTGTTTAATATAAATAAAAGGTTATTAAACCTATTCGATGACTCAAGCAATTGAGTCACTCGAGACCTACTACATCAACAGCAACTAAATTCGCCGTTTTGTATACCACAAGGACACAGTTATACATGAATAGAAATATGAAGGTAATAGGTAGGAGTTTAATAAAGAATAGGAAGGAGATCAGTTACTTCGTCCCTAAAAAATAAATTATTGATTTGGGTCGGGTATTCTAGTGTTTCTTATTGTTCCGATGGATAATAATGTAACTTAAGGAATTCGTAATATCTACATTTGATATCAATTATTCTTTATACAAACTTTTATTTAACTTACAATCTTTGTTATTTTGATTGACTTTTGCCAATTATTGTGTTATACAACCAACCAAAACATATACTCCCATTCGGTGAAGGTGTCCGCCAATCTATACTAATATTATAAAGCTGAAGAGTTTGTTTGTTTGTATGCTTGAACGCGCTAATCTCAGGAACACTGGTCCGATTTGAAAAATACTTTCATTGTTAGATAGCCCATTTATCGAGGAAGGCTATAGGCAATGAAGAATGTTTCAAAATCGGGGGGCTTTTTTCCACTGCGTGCACTGCGTAAACGGACATAGCTCCTTAACGTACCTACGTATTACTTAAAAATATTTTCACCTTCTACGTAAACGAAGGGATAAAGTTAGCGTTAGCCCAAAGTAACTATTCGAAGTCGCGGGCAGAAGCTAGTATTATTATATTCGTAGTATGTCAGTTGCTGCATCGAGACAGGAAAGCGACTAAAGCGACCTATATTAACTAAATAACTACGGAATTATTACACACGAAATAAGATTCAGGGACGATAATTACTTAACTGATTATTATGTAACTAACTTGGTAACCTTAGATTATTTATAATCTAAGTTGGTAACCTTGATCTCAGCGGTCAGAAGCATTGCTCAATATAGGTATGTAAATTATTCTACAAATTAATCTTAGTGTTCTTATAAGTTTTATGCTTCTTTCCATTGCAATTCAAAAAAAAACAATTGATACACATTTTAAAAAGCTTTAAAGGTAATCCTTAGTTGTGATTGCCAGACGTGAGTCATCCATAAAAAAACAATGTTCCTTATTGCGTTGAACGGTGTGATTCCCCAACACTCTATACGTTAACCTATAGCTACATTTCGCTATACAACAAGTAAACTCAAAGGTCTCGTGATTGTTGGAAACGCCACATAGGATTGGCTCACTGTATTGACGTCATTTGATGCGACCAATCACGCATCGGTAAGGGATATTTTTAGAAACTAAATGACGAGAAGTGGGGATTTAGAAAATTGTATGCCCCGTCGAAACGCTTTACATTGCACAATATTTTCTGAGCTTTCACGAAGTGCACGTTTCGGTTATTGCTATTCTTAAAAAAAAGTTTATTAAAATCTCAAAGTATTTAAAAGTAAGACGTGTTTTAAAATTATTTGTCGCTTATTTCTCTTCATTTGTTGTGAGAAAAGCGAATTAATCACCTACTGGAGGCGTTAAAATATATGTTCTTGACGAGGTGAGTGGTGAAAAAGTTCTATTGTAATTTATTTTCGCTATTCATATATTGAGTATATCTAAGAAAACTATTTAAATTAATCAATAATTTGAAAAAGGACTATACCAATTAGAAAATATTTCATAATAATAAAATATTAGTATAAACATTTATTCAAATTTAATATTGTGCAACAATTTAGGTGCGGCTATTTTGGGTCAAAACTAATAGCGGTTAATCTTTGCATTTTTTCAAAGTTCTAAAGATGTTACTAACACCATTCTTTCATAAATATCATCCCATATCATGATCTGATAATATTGTGAATACCATAAGGGAAGGGAAGCGCGTTCGCGTAGCGAGCATGTTCCGACATGTCGAGGTCTGAATTAACCTACCTACTACAGTCACGTTGCCTGCCGCTTGTCTCACATACAGCAATTCTAGAAAATGTGCGCCAATAATATTTTATTAGTGCACATATTCTAGAATTGCTTTACTAGGAAAATAGATATCAATTTTGTCTAATACCGAAAGCAGACCTCTAATGTTAAATTAATGAGTTCAAAAAATTCCATTCACTATCTTAGTGAATTTCTATAAAGAAGTTCATCTTCTTACCTTCGAACCTCTCAGTCGTAGCAAAATAGGAAACATTCCAAATTATGTTATATCGATACCGACGATATGAAAACAACTTTCGTTTTATTTCTAGAACAAGATGGTCGTCGTGAATGATTAAACGATATTACGAATCTAAATATTGTATTGCATTGAGTTAAAACAACACTAGAGAAGCAAACCTCATTATCACACGTCGAAAAAAGTGTAACCACTTTTGAACTTTGACGACGTAGCTTTGATACCACTAAACATTTGAAAGTAAACATATTTATGTCTCATTTACACGCGAGACAAGAACAATACCATCGCTCGGATTAGACAAAGACAAAGATATAACTTTACGATGGTGGGCCAGTGTTGACTACCGTATGAAATTTTACCCATAACAACTAAGAAACAATTTTTTTTAAAACAATTTTGTAATAAAATAAATTAATTTAAATATTCTAAATAATATATTTCGAATTGAATAGAATAGGTATAAATAATAAAATAACTGGAAATATTTGGTTAAAAGGGTTTATATTCAGTGTAAAATCAAACTGCGCTGTGAAGCATCAGTTTTGTATACAATTGTCTTTTAGACTCTTTTTTATAAGTTTGTGTATTTTACTTTCATGATACAATCTTATTTTTACGTATGTAAAAATAATAGCATTTAATAATAAAAGTGAATGATCAACTTGTACTGATAATAAATAATCCATAAGGTGTATTGCAAATTCTATTATAATTTAAAAAACAAATAAAAAAAATAAAAAAATATTTTATTTTTATTTTATAAAAAAAATTATTTATGTTTATTTACTTTTTTATTTTATATTTTTATTTTTATGATAAACATTTATTATTATTATTATTTTGTACAATTATTATTTAAAATTGATAATAAATTAAGAAAACCAATAGATTATTTTTTTTGTACAAAAGTCTCCAGCACTTCTGCCAAGCTCGCAGTGAAAGTTCAACGGGTCCCTAAAAAAAGGGATCGGTCCAGCCCTAACAACTACCGTTCTTCCTATATTTTATTATTATTGGCAAAATGTTTAAAAACAGTATAAAGCATATTATTTCATAAATTATAAATTCTCCCACTAATGTGGGAAAACCAAAATGATTTTTTAATGGTAACACTGATTCTAAATTACAATTATCAGTGTTTTATTTCAATTATAGCCTTATTTACGATGTTATCAATACAAAAACCATAAAATTACACGTGAAAAGTAATTCCGCATGATTTATTAATGTTTTGTGACCTTGAATCGCATTCTTTCACTACGCATTTAGCCATTTTGGCGATTGTTACTGTCATGTGTCGCTATGTTCAACTCGGTCGACGCCACATTGAATAATGAATTGACGTTTGCTACGCATATGCCTGTGGACATATGTGCAGTAGCAACGATTTTAGGCGGTAATTACTCATCTATGTAAGTATTATATCAATGTTGTATTGTCCTACCTGTGAGAACAGGTCAAAGCTATCTCACTTACTTACCTCTTAAAAACTCTCATTTAAAACCAAGATACACTTTTAAGTGATGCACCTATTCTAAAATATTAATGTTGTTTGTTAGTTTTTTGGACGACTGCCAAATTTCTGAATTTTTAACTGTTTGGAGAATATTATTGGCTTTTTTGTAAATACATGACAATGTTGACTTGGTAGAATTAGTATTCCCATATTTTTGTTCACGGCCTACGTTAGTGACATAAATTATGGCGCGTAGGTGTAAGATATATAAGTACTTAGGTATTATCCAAGTTGTCATTTCTTTTTTTGATTATGTCATGGTAAACATATCATTAGAGATAATTTACCTAGTTGGCGTTAATAAATAAGATTTTATTTTTGTTTGTTACAGGCATACAGAGGGCAACATTTATTGGCTGGGAGCCTAAAGAGCTAAGATTTCATTAGGAGCTCAAGAAGAGTTCAAAAAAGTAAGTAATTGCGTTCACCTCCCTCCACAAATTACCCTTTTATGTTCACAGGCGCTGATCATGTTGGAGCATGGTTGCGTGCAAACCAAGGGAACCTCGAAGAATAATAACTTTCCCCTTTTAATCATTTGTTCCAGAATTTATGAACTTTTCACTTGGGTGTATCATTTGCAAGAAAAAATACAACAATCTTAGTACAGATAATAAAATCAATTTTATTAATAAATAAATAAAATGAAAGATGATTTCGGAAAATATTGATACAAAAAGAAAAAGGATATGAAACTTGATTTGGTCTAAAAATAATATAATATTGACCTGAAGTGATTAATTTTCAGTCATTATGTGCATAATTATGAAACAGTATCAATCGCGTTTAAATCTTAATACAATTTACTAAATGCCATACTATCTCGCATAAGATCATTCATGACTTCTATTTAATTCTTAATCCTGGACCATTTTCCTAACATCACCGTCCCCTGCTCTTAATATTAGTTTGGCCGCCCAAATAGCCAGAACACAAACGAACACCAAAAACATGAACACTTAGGTGTTCATAAATACAGAGTACGTACACCGATAGCATGGCGAGCGACTATCTGCAAGGTCAAATGTTGCTCGTCACTGCTTATCGATTTTTTATTTTACACTGCTGTTGTATTAGAAATAGTTGTTTTTTATATCTACTTTAGTTTCTAGATATAAGTACCTAGTTAATTACTTTAATAATATTAGTTCCTAATTTATTAGTATACTTTTACGATAACTTGATAAGCTTTAAGAAATTAGAACTAGAAACCAGTGTTTCAGTTATTATTAAGATAATGCTTTTAACTAACTTAATGTAAGTCATTTGTGTACTCGAGTAGTGAATACCGAGTACTACTTATACAGGTACATGCTATAGCTAAAGCCATAGCAGTTCCAGACAGCAGCGTTTTTATATCCCATAGGTGTAGGTACTACAGTCCATTTATTTTCTTTCAACTTAAAAAAGAGACTAATTAAAGGGCAGGTGACATTGTGTTGATTGCATAACAGGTGGCAACTGACAAAAAAGAAAATAAATTGTCAAAGTTTCAGTTTATATAATAATATTTATCTACATATTTAAATATTTATGCAATCATCATTCCTTAAAAAGATATCTATACAATTTCCATATTATATGATACATATTATGTACACTCTTCAAACATGTGGATATCTATGTATTCATTGGCGTTTCGGTTTCAAGGCTTTGGCCTCGCTATCACAGTCTAATAAACTTGTGTAGGTGCGTCGCGTCTCCGACTTTTTCTCATTTATATGTATACATACGTATACATAAAATATTATATATATTTGTCATCACACATGTTATAACTTTTAAATATTTCCGATCGATTTTGAAGTACAACATGTTGTTGGGCTTCAAAAATTAAGATCATTATTTATATTTTGCAATTTCATTCTAAATCCTCTTACCCACTATCTCCTCCACCCTGCTTCATATAAGTATGCACATTGTGTTACGTCGTATCATTTTTGTTTGTAGTTCTATACAAAATGGTTGCTCAAAAGATCACCTGTCCGAGTCGGAGCGACGATTTCGGAAATCAATATCCGATCAAACCAAACACCGAAAGACGTGGTTTTTTCTCAAACGAGTCTCAAGACTCAAACTGTTTTGAAAGTGGTAAACCTAGATCATTTAAAGAGCGAGAACAACCAGCAAGTAATCGGTTCAATCGAAGCGGCCTCGAGCAGCGACGGATATTCAAACGCAGCGCCGGGTTCACCAGTGCCAACAACCAGCTTTACAGAGGTAAGTACCAGGTCGACAACCGTGAGTACATAACATTTAATTATTGATTGATTTTACTTAAGATAATATTAAGCTTATTTTAGTTTGGCCTTCATAACACAAGACACATGCTAACGTTGTATAAATCTACTTTCAGGTGTCCTTGAAATCGGAGCCCCTGTACGACAGCGCAATGTTTCACGAAACGGACTACGAGTTCTTCCAAGAACTGGCTCCCTTGTATTACGTTCCCGAAAAGGAAGAAGTAGTACAGACCATTGGTGAGTATTTATTTTAAAATCTCGATTCCTACATTAAATTAACCTAAAAAGATAGTATTTTTATAGTAGTAAATATTGTCACTGTAATATCTTTATACTCTTTTTTTTGTAAAAAAGAAATAGTCAACAAGTACATACTCAACCAATTGCAAAGCGATAACCCTAGTCTTAAATAAAATTAATTCAATTAAGATACAACTTGAGAAATATATGTTTTCTGCTAAGATAAATGAGTTTCAAGAAAAAATATTTATTCCTCAGATTCATTTACCAAAACTGAAGAAAAGGCGATTAACATTGACACACCACACATCCCATTCTCACCGCAAGCTTGGGAACAATTTGACGTTAACTCTCCACAGCCTCAGTCAGGCTTTTATAATAGTACACCATTGTCGCCTAACGACAACTTTGGACAATACGACAATAATAATTTGCGCCATTTTCCTGAAGTTGATAGAGACACCTCTATTCAAAATCAGGAGAGTCTTTTAAATATTGATAGCCTAACTACGGCATTTGGAGACTCAACGTCAGAAATTGTCAACGATATGAATTCGTGGCAAGCGGCGGAGCAAGTGGAGTGGCCCAACACAACTGACACTCACTTCAACATCATTTATACAAACAACACAATGATGCCCTTCATCAACGGAGATGACTCTGTCGATCTAATCTGTGGGACGGTCGTTCCTGGAGAAGTTGAGTTTATTGACTTAGTTCCTCCAGACCGAAATATGAACAAAGAACAAGAAACTAGGACGGTGCAAGTCCCGGTCCTGTCGAAACGGAATGAAGGCCTTTCCGTTGATGTATCAGTTCGTGCCCCGGCGTGGTCTCAAGACATCAGTACACCAGTAATTCTAAACGAAGTTATTTCGTTAGAAAAGGAAAACAGCACAGATATCTTGGTAAGCGTAACGAATTAGATATGCTATTAAAACCACCTTGTCGTGACCTTTTAATGTTTCTCGAAAAAAATATATATATCATGTAATTTAACTTAAAAATTATATGGACAATTTAAAAACAATTTCGTTCCTTTGTTACAGGATCCGCCTAAAACATGGCAAATGAAAAATACATCAACAGAGGCCTTCACTGCGTTTAAAACCTCGCCTCAGGTAGACTACGATCCTATCACACCTAAGAGCGAATCTCATATGGAGTCGGATAATGAAGACAGCAAATCTTATACCAGTAAGAGAAGAAGACACGACAGTGAAGACTCCGATAAAACTTACACACCATACACCGAACAGCCCCCAAGAAAGTACAAGAGACGAAAGCCTAGTGTGCCTATCAAGGACCTAATCCTTGCACTAGAAAGTCAGCCAAAGGCACGAAGGGGACGTCCTCCAAAAAGAAGGGAAAGCACAGTGTCTTCTGTGTGCAGTGTAGACGAGAACTCATCGTTTGCCTCCACACAGGAATATAAATATAGGGAATTAAGAGATAAGAATAATGAAGCATCCAAGAGGTCACGAATGAACAGGAGGCTCAAGGAGGAACAAATGGAAGAACTAGCTGTAAACTTAGCAGAAGAAAACAAAAGGTTAAAAGTTAGAGTAGGCGTTTTAGAGGAAATGACGAAAAAACTAAAGAATGAATTGATGTCCGCTATTCTAAAGAAATGAATTGGGCATTATGTGATTAGCCTTGATCAAATTCTAACTCCTCGAGTTTTTGGCTTATCGTTGTACTAATCTATTGTCATAGATGTTAATGCGTATCACAAATTACATAGTTACTCTTGAGATTGTTTTCAATATAAGATGTAACATAGTTTAATGTTATTTGTTTGCCTTCTATGAATATGAAAGATGACGTGCAAGGATGCTATTTTTATATTTAAAAGGGTGTATTTTATCAATTCTTCAGTTCAATTAGTTATAATCGATGGTCTTTTAAGGTTACAATGCATGAAAAAATATTAAAAAAAATAATATATTTAATTATCAATAAATTAAATTAATGCAAAAATGTGCATGATTTGTTAAATTTACTTTGCAATTATATTTTTTCTTATGTTATTTGCCATAGTTGAATAAAATGTTGTAATTGAGACCTGCGTAATTATTATACCTTTTATAGACTTAAATTGATAAATGAATAAGCAATTATTTCATGCCCAAAATATTTGTCAAATGCATGATATTAGGAGTAGGTTCATATATATTTCTCGACCTTTTTTAGGATAAGCGATGAATCTGTACACTTATCATAACAATATAATGTTATAAATGCGAAAGTATCTAGTCTGTCTCTGACACAGGCTTGGCCACCATCAGGGACTTAAATTGCGATAACACAAAATATTTGTCGGACCAGACTAATTTGTCTTTTCAAAAGCGTTTCTAGGTGGCCGACCTAGGAAGAATCTCCCTAGCTTGGCCACGTTTATAGCTCAAAAACTAGGGCACCTTAGCGAATATCTGTTTCCTCCCATATCTAGTCGCTAAGGAATTTGTTACCAAGTCACAGATTGAGTCGGTTCTTAGTTAAGAAGATATATGTAGTCTAATAAGGCCTGAATTTTAAAATGTGTCTCAGTCGTGAATCTGGTCTTAAAACTCATTTTAAGTTAAGATTTCATTATTGAACGTCAATTAAAATGAAATTCACCGATCCATACTCAAGTGACAGATAGGCATGGGACAAAATCACAGTGAACTGTGAAAGACTCAAAGACCGGTGATTTATCATTCGATTTTTTCGTACATAGGTTAGGGTTAATACTTACTCGAGCGTTATTGCCAAAAAGCTGTTTTCAGATCATGCATAAAGACCCCATTTCGCCTATTCAACAGTAAATCTAGTAATTATTTTATGACATATGGCTTCGATTTTCTACATAATAATTTAAAAAAAAGGGCTTATGGCGGACGGATAATCTTCTGCGACCTTCGGCGCCTGAGTCGTCTGCGTTACCTGGAGAATTCTCGGAAGGGGCGTGCCGGGTAAGTTCTGACCTTCTATCGGTACCGCTCCGCCATCTCCATCGCAAGCATAGCCTGCTCGCAGAAGGAGACGGCGAAGTTTCACGCACTCTCGCTCCTTACCATGGCGGCAATCATGTTACCGAGCGAGAGAATTCCCACTCCGATGGCCGCTACGAGGCCACGCCTTTGCTCCACCCACGCCGGGCATTCTGCCAACGTGTGGAGCGCCGTATCCACGGTCCGGCCAACGCAGTGGTGGCACTCAGGTGTTGGCTCCTTGCGGATCAGATACAGGTGATCTCCGAAGCATCTTTTCCCGGTGATCACCTAGCCGGTGTAAGAGAGTTCCGTGATGCCTCGAATATTACACCAATTAGGCGATTCTAATCCGGGTCCTGACAATATTTCAAATACCTTAGTCAAAAATCTCTCTAGCTTAGCTCTTAAACGACTCATAGATGTTTTCAACTACATCTGGATTAATCTAGTTTTCCCTGACCAGTGGCGAGAGGCTATTGTAATACCTATACCAAAATCAGGGAAAACCGCTACGTTGACAACTAGTTGTAGACCTATTTATCTTACTTATAATTTATGTAAATTGTTTGAGAATGTCGTAAGAAACAGACTGATATGGAATTTGAAACATAATCAACTAATATCCCACTTACTAACTAAAATCACAGTGTTATAGTTGGATGAATATTATTAAAATCTTATCAGCTATTAAATGGGGTTCGGACAGTAAATGCATCAAAATCACGTACAAAACTATAAAGCATTGATTAGGCAGAAAATTGATTATGGTTCTATTATCTTTTATTTACGAGTATTTGTTGAGGCTTCTTGCAAACACATTGCATAAGGCGGACTTAATGCCACAGGCATTTTCTTCCAGTCAAACCTTTGGGTGTTGCATAGCTGTGTGTAGCAGGTGTATATTTGGGACAGGTAAGGATGAGACTGAATTAAAGAATATTACAAGACAAAAAAAAATCTACTGATATAAAGCTACCATGTATACATACGAGTACATATAAATATCAAAATATAGTATGTGTATAAAATACATAATATACAGATACTCTAACACAGTCAAAGCCCTCGAACTGCGGCGCGGTCTTATAGGTATCCATGACAGTTGCGTACGGTAAGCGGATATGGGATCATACTTTCGCAGGTTGCATAAGAATCGAATGAAATTGTTGAGAAGTCGGTCTAATTTATTGAGCAGATCCGCATCCAAGTCGAGATAACACACATCACCATAGTGGATAAGTGGAAAAATTAAACTCTGCACAAGCATCGACTTTGTATTTACTGGGAGGAAATTGAGACCGAGATCCTTGGCCGATGTGCTAACAGGAAAAACGGTGTCATTAAAGATGATTTCAGTAATACCATCAGGATCAATTCTGCTTGTCATTCTAGGACTCCTTATGATGATCGCTTGGCATTTTGATGGGTTCACCGTTAAACCGAACCTGCTTAACCAGTTTTTTATGATCTCTAAGTCTTGATTAACACTATTTACAGCTTCATCCAAATTTTCTACTCTTGCATGTGAATAAATCCGTGTGGTGACGGAATCCATGTGGTGACGGATTAATAATACAGAGTGTCACCACCCCTATTCTTCCCGTGGGTGTAGTAAGAGGCGACTAAGGGAGAAAACTACGCAGAACAACAGCACTACAAAGAGAAGGAAAACTTGACAATAACCCTATACCAATCCGTCTGACCAGCGTGGTACAGTAGGCCAAAACCTCCTTTCTAAGGAGAGGCCTATGTCCAGCAGTGGACTATTAAAGGCTGTTGATGTGATGTAAATAAATCTGCAGGTCGTCTGCATACAAGTGATACGAACACCGAGGTTCATTAGTTGGTTGTGGGCTTCAGTTTCCGCATTTAGACTCAAGAGTGGTCCTTTATGCGTAGAGGACTCGTTAGCTAGGTGAGCCAACCAAGCTCCTTCCAGAAGCGCAGAAGCCTCCTGGGGCGTTCACAGGCGTCTAGGAGCGATTTAGTATCGGGAATGATACTTGCCACTCCCTCTCTCACTGTTGTGTGGCCACTCCCTCGCATTCGTGGGCGACCGTTTCTTCTGCTTCCAAACATCCCCTGCACAGAGGACTGTCCGTCGCATTGATGATGAATAGTTGTCGGTTCAGGGCTAGGTGTCCTGTTATAGTTAAAATAACTATTCGGATTTCCAGTGTGCAAAGACTGATCAATCTACAGGTGAGTAGTGGTGTGACTTGAGTCAGCACCAGTTTGGACTCTCTGCAGCCGGGTGAGTTTTTACACCGCCGGTTATGTGCTTCACGAGTCCGTTGCCTGGCTCAGAATCGTATTTCGTTAAACGGTATTATCAAGAGTTTGGTTGGGCCGGTAGCTGGTGTTGCCGAGCCCCTCCTTGCCAACTCATCTGCGGCATCGTTCCCGTGTGAGTTATTGCGCACTTTAATCCATTGGAGGAGTACCACATTTAATGTGGCAAGCTGGTCCAAATGCTTGATGGCATTCGAAGACAATAGCAGAGGTCATTGTGTTGCCCTCTAATGCCTTTAGGACGGCCATGCTGTCGGATAGTATTCGGATGTTATAGTCCTTGATACCCCTTGACATGGCCGTTGTGGTGGCGTAAGTTATTGCCACACATTCGCATTGGAATATGGAACTGTGTTGGACTAACGCTAGTGATATGTTCATATTTAGGTCTTGCGAGAAAACTCCGACTCCAGTTCCTGACCTAGTCTTGGAACCGTCCGTGTAAATTCGGACTTCGTTAATGCCGGATTGATCTCGGTATTTTTTTTTGTATCTGGATGTGGTATATTTTTGTGATGGTGTGGTGTTTTGGGATACTATCGCATGGGGCTGCTATTAGTGGTTCGTATTCCACCAATTGATCCCATAATTTGGAGTGCGATCCCTCACTTTTATGCCATAGGCCCAGATGTCTGAGTCTAATGATCACCATGACGGCCTCCTGCTGTATGAAATCCAGTGGGGGCAGACCCAGAGCAACCTTTAGTGCGGCAGTTGGCGTTGTGCGCATACAGCCAGTGACCGCAGAGAAGTTCATGGGTTATGAGATCGATAAATAAACAAAAGAGAAGAGGAGAAAGTTTAGTATTCAATGTGGCGCCGATCGAATTAAACATAGCGACGCATAACAATAACAATCTCCAAAAAAGGTAAATGCGTAGTGATAGAACGCGATTCAAGGTCACAAAATTATAATATTTTTTTACGCAGAATTACTTTTCACACGTAAATATATTGTTTAGGTATTGATATTAAAAATGAAGAAAAATTAAAGCAGGTTCCCCTTAAATATTTATTTTATTCTGTTTTTAGTATTTGTTGTTATATCGGCAACAGAAATATATCATCTGTGAAAATTTCAACTGTCTACTGTCACGGTTCATTAGATACCGCCCGGTGACAGATGGACGGACAGCGGAGTCTCGTTTTACCCTTTGGGTACGGAGCCCTAAAAATTGATTATTGTAATTTATAAACAGTGTTACCACTAAAGTTTCGTTTTGGTTTTCCCACGGTAGGGGGAGAATTTGTAATTTTTGAAAAAAAAAACTTTGTACTGTGTTTCTAAATATTTTGACAATAATAATAAATTACAGTAGGACTGGCAGATGATAAGATTGGACCGCTTTCTTGGTGGATGCACC